CAACGACTTTGCTGGCGATTAAAATTTAAAACATTGTAAGGCATACCTAGAAGAATGAGCAACCGCTGATTGGACTGTGTTTGATGTTGATCATTTCTATGCCTCCCCACAAATCCCAAACTATTATTTTTCAAAATATGACTGCCCAGTCAAAATATGACTGGGCAGGTTTTTCCCAACCCTAAACAGGGACGAAGCGGGGACGGGGAAAATATTTTTTTTTTCAAATTGGGAGTGGAGCGGGGCCGGGTTTTGTATATAGCTAGCGGGGATTCGTGTATTAAGCAAAAGATAAATAATAGAAAGTGTCATTTACTAAAATACACTTATAGTTTCATGAATTTACTAAAAATATACCCAATAGTTAGCATTTTACTAAAACACCATTTATAATTTGCAACGGATTTAATCAATCTTCCATTAGATGATAGTGGAAAATGACATTGTTGACCATAATGTTTATTGAAATAAATTTAATCAAAAGAAAAATAGAAATAAAAATACTTTTTGCCCTTAATAAGACACAAGCAACCACTCTATTGACTATATTTAGCCAATTTTATTTTTTGTATAAAAAAGTGTTAAGGGTATTTTTGGAATAAAAAATCTGGGCCTAATGGCAAAACAAACACTCATTTAATGAAATGTTGATTAAGTAAACAAATTGTAAAATAAATGGGACATTTTAGTAAAATGAAAACTATAAGGTAGGTTTAAGTAAATATGTAAAACTATAGGGGTGTTCTAATAAATGACTCTAATAGAAACACATAAGAGTATATAATTGCTTTATATTTTCAACTTTTTCAATAATTAATGATTATTCATATTTTATATACTACTTTTAATAATTTTTTATAATAAATAAATACCAATAATTAATTTCAATTAGGTTTATTCATTAAACTTATAAAATCGGCCAACCTGATAAACTCGACCCGAGTTGGTTGGTTTTCTAGTATGTTATGTCGACTTTGGTTCAAAAAACTCCCAATTCAACCAAGTTGGATTAGTTTCACTTTGACCATTTGTAAACTGACCAAAACCGAACGACCTAACTATGGATATATATATATATATATATATTAATATTTCATATTTTAAATGTAATTTTTAATATGAAAAAGTGAGAAATTTCCCATATTTCTTAATCTAAAATGTTTCATTTCGTAAATCTAATTTTTAACTTTATTTTTTAATAATTGTTGTGAATAAGGTGGTTAGGCTACATACGGGAGTCTCCTTTAAGGACAAAGGAAAGCTGAAGTGCAAAAGGTGGGCTAAAGGCTAAGGCAAATGAGGTGATAGAATGATTATCTCTTTATGAAATGGACCCATATTTATAGGGAGGGATCCTGGGGTCCCGAAAGGAAGGAGCCAAAAGTGTTTGATTTCCATTAGGAAAGGGAATCTTGGATTTGGTGCCAGTTGTTAGGTAACACTACTAGGGTTTCGCCATGTGTCTTATGTGCTACTTCCTTTCGTGGCCCTTTTGAAAAGACGTGGCATGCGTGATGACACCATTTAGCTTGTGCACGCTCATTAGGCTCACGGGGTGTCTCGTCACGCATGTTATTTAACGACGCATATGTTTTTGTTATTTGTTTATGATCTGTGGTGAGTCTATGCCCATTGCGATTCTGTGATGACTTTAAACTCATCGCAAGTCCGGAGCTCATTTGCGGTTCTACGATGGATTTAAACTCATTGTAAGTTCGTGTAGATCTAAAGTTCATCACAACCTGTTTCAGCTATGAGTTCATCACAAATGTGTGATGAGTTATGAACTCATCACAAATGTGCGATGCGTTATGGACTCATTACAGGCATTCACATAGTATTAGTTTAACACCTCCTCTGTTTTGATGGTATAAGTGACCACCATGTACCTACAATTGCACTGTGATTTTTAAAATTAAATTAAATTTTTAAGTTTAAAATCTTTTGAACCGATTGACCTTTTGTGAAAACTGACCCAAACTGATACAACTTAAGTGGGTCAATTTTCACAAAAGGTCACTCGGCTTTAGTTGACTAACTCCCCAACCTGACCAGGTCAATTTGGTTAGCCAAATAACCTACGACCGGTCCGAACCAACTCATGAACACTCATAATTTTAGCTAAATTAATAGTTTTATCTCTAATAGATAACAATAGTTTAATCTCCAATAATTATTAAAAATTTATAGCATAAACACGCAATTATTGAAAATATATTGATAATGAAAAAAATACAATAATTACAAAAATATAGTAACTACTAAAAATATATGAACTTAGTCAATAAATAGTATAAAATCTCAAATAATAGTTTAATCACTAATAAATATTAATTAATCAATAAGTTATAAGAAAAATACAACAAATACAATAAGTACAATAAATTAAATTTAAAAAATTCAATAATAGTAGTTTAATCTCCAATAATTATTGAAAGTTTTCTATGAAATAACAAAAATAAATAAATTTATACATAATCATTGAAAATACATTTATCACAAAAAACAATAAATAATTAATGAAATAAAATAAATATTAATTTTAGTATATATAATTATATAATAAATACAGATTAAGAGTTTAAAATTATTATTAACAAATATTAATGTTTTTGAAAGTTATTTTCTCGAATTACTACTTGATATAAGTGAAATTATTTATTTACAATATTATGTAAAAAATATTTAGTTATTTAAATACTTAAATAATATTTTTAGTTATTTAAATACTTAAATTTATTACATAATTTCTTCAGTTTAACTACTTAAAGTCTAGTTATGTTAAATATTTTTATTTAAAATATTTAGTTATTTAAATAATTAAATAATATGTAAAATATTAATTATTTATAGAATTTAACTATCCATAAAATCATAATTTATACTATTATTACATAATTTCATATTAATTTTGTAATATATTAAATTATTATTAATTTCGATATCATGTTATAATTATTTTTCTACTTTTAAGAAATTTTTAAATTTATTACATAATTATGTTATTTTAACTATTTAAAATCCAATTATGATAAATATTTAAATAATCTATAAAATACTTACAATTTTTTGTTATTTGAATTTTATTTATTTAAAGCTATTACATATTATTAAATATTTTAAAAATATTTAAATTGATAATTCGGAAAAACATAATTGAAATTGTTAGTACATAATTTCGTGATATATTTTGTAAAAATATAAAATTATTTTTTATGTTTTTAATAAATATTTTAAAGTTATTATATAATTTTGTTAGAATATTTAGATAATTCTTAATTTTTTTAATCCAAACTTTCTTTAGATAGATATAGATAAAAGTAGGGGAGAGGATAATTAGGAATTAGAGATAATTTAGGAGAGAAACTCTTTACTAAATTAGAGATAATTTTGGAGATAAATAGGAATTAGAGATAATTTTGGAGAAAGTGGAGGAGGTAGTTTAGGGGAAATTTTAGGAGAAGGGATTATTTAGGTTATGGGAAAGTGCATCTCATCGGTTTTTTAATGTAATCAAGATAAACAATAATTACTACTTTATATTTTTAAAACAAAAGAAAATAAGAAAAAATACAAAAAATGGTGAAAATAGATAAATATCTTCTCTCAAAGGAGAGATATGCTAACATGGACAGACCACTTTTAATATATATAAATTCTCTGAACCCGCCCCAAACACGAAGGTAAATTAGTAAAATATCTATAGGTTTAATATTGATATTTAAAATATCTCTAAGTTTTTTCCTAAATTCTTAAAATCTTAGGATCCCATAATTCTATTTTTGAAATACCCCTAAAATATTATAATTTAATTCCTAAATACCCCTAAATTCCTATATCCTATGTGTAAATTGTTCATAAAATAAATAATTTTTAAGTAGTTGCCTTGAAGCAGGAAAAATTCGAGGATTCCCCATTCCCAACGGGGAATGGATGCCTGCCCCAAACCTGCCTCGCCACCGGGGATGGGGCAAATTATCTTAACTACGGGGCGGGAATGAGGAGGGGGTGCCCTGCCCCAAACCCGCCCCGTCGCCATTACTAGAGGGAAGCATGCCTTGAACTTAGGCTCCCACCCAGTGATATTTAAAAGGCCGAGGCTTTCTAATCATTTGGAATTTGGGGATCCCCTAAATTTCAGCATCCCCTCCTTTTTAATTTTAACTCTGGGTCCAAGCAACTTTCGAAATGGCAAGCTTTTTTGAAAGTTCCTATAAGCATGGTGAAGGCATAATTTAAAATCAAAATTGCAAGGGGAAGAAGAAATACACACATAATCATGGGAACATACTTCATCGCTTATATTAATTTCATTTGAGTCCTCGTTGATGTATGCTTAATAGATCTAATCGTTTATCTCATCTTCAAGAGGGTCAACCATTTCTATATCAATTTTTGGATGCTTAAAAGGAGAGGCGAGTCTTTGAAGTTCAACATTGCAAGAGAGAAGAGATTTTGACGTCCCATTTCTAGTACACCCAACGATCCAATTGTCACAACCCTAATTGATTGGGGAGATAAGGGTTGGGTCAACTCTGGTTCTATGTAAAAGGTAGCCACTTCTCGGTTCATATGCATATTGTATGCAATTATGTATTATAATATGTATCTATGTATGTATAAGTGAACGCTTTGAGCATGCAACCAATGATATGCCCACGCCAACGACAAAATTCATATGACTAGTATTGACTACACAGAGGTTGAACGATTTCACTCCATCGAAGGGTTAAAATTCCTCGAAAATAGGCGGAACTCGGGGCCACAATAACTAAGCATTTGGACGGTCTAGATTGACAGAAACGTCCGTCGCGTTGGAAAAGCACCCGACCGTGTACCTTACGTACATTGTCGTCTACTTCTCTTTCGCTGGGGTTTTTGCCTTCTGCTATCAGGTTTTCGCGCCGTCCGTGTTGAATTTGATAAGGTTTATGTTCTTTGAATCTCGGATACCGAAGAACCAGAGCAGGTGCAGTCTCAACGTTAGATCCGCGTTAGCTTTGATTTCGCATTTCGTTACTTTCTGCAAATCCGCCTTTGGTTTACCTGTTACTCCCTTTAAATTATGAGTTAGGATTCACTTCCATCAATTATTTCTGATCGGTTCATTGTTTTATACGACTGCTGAGCTCGAATGTAGTGTGTTGAATCATGGGAAATATTGATTCCCATTCTAGGGTTTTGGTTGTTTTGGGGGCTGAACACTTCGGCCATGTCGAGTACTTGTCAGGGCGTTAGGTTCTGAGGGCAATTTCTGAAGGACAGTCTCGCGCATAAACGGAGACGGACCGATTCTGATAGTTAATTTGTTTGTATGTTTTTGATCCAAAATGCAAAGAGACCGAAAATGGGATCATCTTCAACTCTTATTTGATTCGTTACCTGTATGCTTTGGTTTTCTATTAATTGATTATTATAGTTTTCATTTATTTCTATTAGTGAGTTTTCGAACTTGAAACAATGGCGGTGGGAATGATGAAACCCGTAAAGGCTGGTCTAGAAGAACCACAGGAGCAAGCCCATCGCATTAGGATTACTTTGTCATCCAAGAATGTGAAGAATCTCGAGAAAGGTCCTTCCTTTTTTTATATGATACTTACCCTTTTGTTTGTTAATTTATCATGCCTGTGTTCAAGGCATAAACAGCTTTTCTTTTGGTCTTTAACAGTATGTGCTGACCTTGTGACTGGTGCAAAGAACAAAAGGCTGAAAGTCAAAGGTCCAGTGAGGATGCCTACTAAAGTTTTGCACATCACTACAAGAAAATCTCCCTGTGGGGAAGGTTAGTTTGTAAACATATTTTTGCTTCATTCTAGAAAACATTTGCCTGTAAACATTTGAAGGATGATGAATTGATGTGGATAGCTTTAGTCCTCTATGTGTAGAACTAAAAAATTTAAAATGTAGTCTTCCTAAAAGCACCGGCAATAGTCATTTCTTTCTTATTGTAATCTTCTATCTTCCCTTGTTTGTCTTGGAAATGTTGGGGAATGACACATGTTGGTGATCTTTGAATTTAACATGCTGTTTGGTTTATTCCAGAGCACAGTGATTAAAATTTTCTCATACACAGTTTTACGGTTTTACTTTCTGCTTAATCACCATTCCTTTGCTCAGATCATCTGAGGGTGCATTTCCTGGTTAGCAATTTGTCAATCTTTGAACTTTGAAAAAAATTTAGTTATGAGGTGCGTGAGGGTTCTATTTGATGAATTAGCTCTTTGTTCCAAAGGGAGTTGTAGAGCTAGTAATCAGAATGATGCTGGACAGTATGGTTCTTTTTAGTGAATATTTGTTAGTATTGTTATTCTGTTCTCTACCACACTGATCCAGTAAAAAGATCTCTTCTCTATCATAACTTCATAAGTTTGGGACAGTGGGGTTATGATGTGGTTATATAGTTTCCCACCCTATCTTGTTATGTTGATCTGTAATTCATGGAGGGTGTAAGGTATCTACAACCCAATGCCTGCTTTATTATCATCTTTGAATGGTGTCTATTTGTGGGTATCTGTGCCTACCATTTAATCCTACCTGATTGTCTTCTAGGCCATGCCTTGACCTTATCAGTTGATCTTTGTCATTTTACTTTTGGTGTCCTTTCAGGAGAGTGATATATTATTACCAGATTTTTGGCTCAGGGAACCATATTACCCAGATATAGGAACTACACAGCTGGGCAAGGTGTTGGATATGGACTATATACATTAAAAAAAATGAAATATTGGACATGGTATGACACCTTTATACAGACAGGTATTCAGGTATCATATTTAGGAAGTCAACAAGGTGTGGACCCTCATGCAGGGTTTATGAGCTTATTTCTAATTGTTAGTTCTGACCTAATTGAGAACTCAAGTTTTAGATAAATTTTGGGGCAAATTTCTTAAACTACCGCTAAGGTTTAGGAAATTGACTAACTATACCCCTATTATTTCAGTATTGTCTTAAAGTACCCCTACTGTTTTGACAATTGTCGCACAGCTCCCTTCCCGGTAAGTCTCCATCATAGACCGTTTACATGTGACTTCACGCGTTTGATTTAATTTAAATTATACCCAAAATACACTTTAGCAATTACCGCACATCCCCTGTCAGAGTGCGTAGCCTTTCCTGTCCTGATTCTATTTCCGAGCCAAAGCCATCAAAGAATGCTTGATAATTCCTCCTTGAAGAGACTACGAGGAAAGAGTTGGAGAGGGAGAACGAAGAGGGGAAGGGGGGTGGAGAAAGATCACTGCCAATGTTGGAAGTTGCAGTGGTAGCGGTAGTTTTGGTCCATCCAAAACAGAGGTGAAGGGGGGAGGAAGAAGATCACTGCTGCCGCTGGCGGAAGTTGCAGTGGCAGCGGTGATTTTGGCGCTCAAAAACAAAGGGAAAAGAGAGCTTTGTTGTTCGAACTGAACAGGCCATTGGTTAGAGAACTCTAATTTCTCTTTCTCTGCCATTGGTTAGAGAACTTTGGAAATTCGCCATCGGTTAGAGTCTGATTTCTCTCTCTGCCATTGGTTAGAGAACTCTTGAATCCACCAAATCCTCCTTCAGCTCGATTCTATTGTTTGATCAAAATCTCTCTCTCTCTCTCTCCATCTCTCTCTCAACTCTGATTCTCTTGCTGCTGATCCGAATCTCTCTCCTGACGTTGAGCACCCAAACAAATTTCCCATTTCAAATGGGAAAGCAAAGATGATTTAAAAAATGACTGGCAAGAGATAGGCCTTAGCAGTTTCCTTCTTGCAGGTAATTGGGAAAAGCAAAGATGCACAATTTGTGAAGACGCCGCCGCTGACGATGTAACCACTATTGGAGGAACTGGGTTCTTCTGTTTCAAGCGAAGCATCATTCTCAGCCGAGTCACTTGAACCCGTGATCAGGACTATGAAGATAATTGCAGACAACGTGAGTACAAGACCATCCAAACCCAGCCAAAGGCAAGGAGAGACTGATTTTCCGATTGTAAAATTCTGGTTGTATTGGATGTATTTGATGGAGGAGAAGGCAAAGGAGAGGCCTTGCAAGAGCTGAACGCTGCGAACAATGGGCAGAGGGATGAAACGGTAGAAGGCCGGTGGCATCGGTGCATCACACGCCCAAACCCCTGCAGGTGCTGTTGCTTGTGTTGGTGGTGGAACTAACCCAATAAAAGCCAGTTGGCAAGAGACAAGTTTTGTTCGAATTGGTCCATCGTCTCCGACATCTTCAGACGGGTTTTGTTTGAAGTTCTCACTTTCAATAAGGTGTCAAAAGTTTCATTTTGAAAATTTAAAGAAAAATGATGGGCAAAATAGTCTTTTTAATCCTTCCATTATGGACACTGACGGTAAAGAAGATTTAGTCAATTGTCAGAAACAGTAGGGGTACTTTAAGTGTACTTTAAGACAATACTAAGGGTATAGTTAGATAATTTCCTAAACCTTAGGGGTAGTTTAAGAAATCTGCCCTAAATTTTCACTTAAATTTCGATTCTCCTTCAGAATCTTGTGGAGAAGAAAACTGTCCCCATCCTTTGCCTTTCTTTTCTTTTTATCAGAAATAGATCTAGCAGCTTTTATTTGAAAGTATGAAATGAAAGATGCATATATAGAGGAGTTACAAGATTTAGATAGTGGTTATTTAGTTCCACCCCAGAAATTTGCCAAGTGCACCTACAACAAGATCATGATACTACTTTCGATTGCCTGTCTTCCAAAGCAGATCCTCAATACAAATATTCTCTCTTATTGGCTGTAGTATCAGTGTGTCCAAGGTCCTGAGCCAGTGCTTTCCATCCATCCCTTATTGGTACTACAAAATACGAAGTATAAAATTCTAGTATACATATGAAAAACATTCGAGTATATAGCTCCCTTGTCTTCTGTGCTAGTCCTATTTATTTATTTATCTTTATGTTTTTTATGCATTCATTATTCCTCCATACATTCCTTGTTTGCTATGTTCTCTGGAATTAATGTGATCCTTGAAACTAGAATCAGACCACAAAATTGTGTTGGCCTGCCATGTAATTTTTAAAATACCTATGCTACCCCCATTTGAAAGAAGCAAAATTTCACCAAACACTAGTATCGCTTATTTGAACAAGTACTTGTGTTAACAATAAGAACTCCCAAACATGGGCTTATTGTGTTAATATAAGAACCTATATGTCAAAAAAGTAAAGGTATAGAAGAGATCAGTATTTCCTGTATCAGCTGAATCTTAACCCTTTTGTTCTACAAGGCAAATAAATGAAATAATAGATGCTGCGCTACTTGTGTCATCATGCTCTAGTCTAGGCACTCAAAATTGGCTCTTCAAGTTTGAATCTTTTCGCTAAACATGTTAGTCTGCCATGTTGTGTAAGATTTTATTGTGATGTACTTGCACGAGCATGACATACTGATATCAGTTGGATTGAGAATGATCAGTTGTGCTTTTGTGGTTGTGCATGTACCTATGTGTGTGCTAGAGATATCACCAAGTGTTAACTACATCTGCCGATGAACTGGCATCTTCTGTATAGGATGTAACTCATTGCTCCCGTTATTCTTTTTTTGCCAGGGACAAACACTTGGGATCGTTTTGAGCTGCGTGTCCACAAGAGGGTCATTGATCTTGTCAGCTCATCTGAGGTTGTGAAGCAGATCACATCAATCACTATCGAACCTGGTGTTGAGGTTGAGGTGACAATTGCAGATCCATGAAGACTCTGGACGATGGACTTATTTTTTTTTTCCTTTCAGTTTTGTATGCTAGGAAGCAGGGAAAGAAAGAACTTTAGAGGATTAGAATAGCAGTTAGCTTAAGAGGTGCATGTTTTTCTTCCCAATTATTTCATTTTCTACTATTCAGGGATTCAATTGTCATGAAAGACCACACTTTGGAATTACTAGGTTTAATCTCTGACAGTAACACACAATATCAACTTATGTTTAAGAAACCATGGTGGTATTAGTTGAAAGGAATAATCTATTCTTCAATTGTAAGGTGGTGTATTTGTAATTTGTTTCAACTACAATTTTTTTTTTTTTCGGTAGATAAAGGCTACAACCTATAAATATTCAAAATGATTCACTAATTTTGTTTTACATCAGGATCTTGCATGACATCCGTTTTATTCTTGGGCTGTGAATAAAGAGAAAATAATTGCAAAAGTGAGAAAGTATGAGCAAGGTGTCGGCCATTGCAAAAAGCAGGTCCTAGATGCCATGACGATACCGAGCGGGCAACGTGCAAGTTGATGTTGAATTACATCAACGTTTAGTTGGTCTAAATGTCACTTTAGTGTTTGGATTTAGATGGGATGAATTTGGGGATTTTAAGGAATTCAAACGAGTAACCCCTTCCCTCGCAAGCATGGTTTTTAAAAACGAACCGGTGACCGAACCGGTCAGGGGTCCGGTTACCTGTTCGAACGGTCTGATCGTTTAATCTGAACGGTCGGTCTGTTCTGACAAAAAAAAAATTTAAAAAATAAAAAATTGGAAAACAGTCAAAACTATTCAAATGGTGAACGATTAACTGGCCAGTTCAGCGGTTTGCTGATTAAAATCAATGGTTTTGAGGGAAACAACGGTTTTGAAGGAAAATGAAACTGATCAAGTGATTGGTTTTGGGTTTGAAAACAGTGCTCCCAAGGTGTTGTAATTAATGATAAATCACTGTTATGTATTGATAAAAAAAGTAAATCACTGTTATAAGGCCTTCCTATGCATAATCATGATTCTATGGGGGTATTCTTTTTCTGGATTTTGAGAGGGGGAAGTTGGTCAATGGGATTTTGATTTTCATTTATAAAGAATTTCATATTCTTTTTTCAGATTTATGTGGGGACTAGGGAAAGTTTATTTTTCTGGGTATTATGTGGGTAAATAACTTTTCCACTTTGAAGAAAGTTGTCAACACTTGAATGAGACAAAAATGCCCATTGTAATAATGGATTTTTATGACTAAAATGGTCATTGCCTTATCTACATGGGAAATAAAAGAACATGGGTAAATGCACATTACCCGGATAAGTAGCTTACTAAATAACAAACGGGGCTTAGGAATACAGAATTTTAGTGACGACACTTCCTAAACTAAATTTCTAATTGGATGGCATAGGAAGTTAAAATCATTCATTCGTTGATAATTTTCCTCTCGGGTGGAATGTAGATTTCACCAGAGCCAATTTCACCAGAGCTAATTGCAGTGGAGTTGGATTTTATTTATCTAACTAAGTGAATTTATCCAAACAAGTGTTTCCTAGGCAAAAGTTGTTTGGATAGATTTGATTCTAACATTCTAGTGTGATATAACTTATTTAGATAAAGAGAGGCGGGAAGAGGAGAGCTATAAGCAATTTATCCACCCTCTAGGAGGATATCAATTATCTTTGGAAGATTGTTTTAGGCCCTGTTCGTTTTTTGATAAGTTATTTATCCGGGTAAATGCAGCTATTTGGGCAAGTTTTTCTTGAAAAACACTTATCCAGGTAAGTTGCATTTACCCATGTTCTTTTATTTCTCATGTAAATAAGGCAATGCCCATTTTAGTCATAAAAATTCATTATTAAAAGGAGCATTTTTGTCCCATTTAAGTGTTGGCAACTTTCCCCTTAGGTGGGAAAGTTATTTATCCACTTAGGAGATGTGTAAGTGATATAAAAAAAATAAATTTTCTCTGATCCCTACATAAACATAAAAAAAAATAAGATTCTTGATGAATGGGAACTAAAAACGAACGAAGCCTTAAAAAACACACATTGTAAGTTTGAGGCTTTGAGTTTGTGTACATATGTACAATTAAATAAAAAAGCATCATGAGGCTCATGTCATGGTTCATACATGCAAATGCATTGAACCTCAGTTGGGGTTGGGGAATTGGGCCAAGTGGCCAATCCTAACAATGTAGTAGACTAGTAGTGTATTGTGGTGTTGTCTCATTCTCGCATTTCCGGCACAATTGGCGGGAACCGGGAGGCCAATGATTTTTTTTTCTTTTCTGATGAATATGAGATGGAAGGGCAATGATTCATCAATTAAGCATTAGTGAATAAAGATTAGACAGAGACAGAGCCCCCCACATACATTGTGAATTTGTGATGAGTTGAATCAAGGAGCGGTGGAACAACTGGATCCCTCCACCCCACAGCCACAGACAGAGATTAGCCCCAAGTATTAGTTGCAACCCATCTTGGTAAAAGACTTCTTATGCCATATGCCATTTGATATGGTAAAATAAACCAAAAAGTACCAAATCGATCCATCCACTTGTCTTAAACTTAATAACAAACCCCCCCCGCTCTCTTTCTTTCTCACTTCTTTCTCCCAACCCAGTCCATATGCGAAGAAAGCAGAGCGAGAAGAGGCATAAAGTGATCAGAAGAAATGGCATCATTCGACAATGACTCCTCCAAATCTGGATCTACAGCTGCTGCTGTTATCAACGGCGGTAACACGACGTCGGCGGCCGCTGCTCCTCCACAAGGCCGTAAGACAGCCTTGATCACTGGCATCACCGGCCAGGACGGTTCCTACCTTACTGAGTTCCTCCTCAACAAGGGCTACGATGTCCATGGCCTCATTCGCCGCTCCTCCAACTTCAACACCCACCGCATCAACCACATCTACATCGATCCCCACAATTCCCATAAGGCCCGCATGAAGCTACACTACGCTGACTTGACTGACGCCTCCTCCCTTCGCCGCTGGCTCGACACCATCCTCCCCGACGAGGTCTACAACCTCGCTGCCCAGTCTCATGTTGCCGTCTCCTTCGAGATCCCCGACTACACCGCTGACGTCGTTGCCACTGGTGCCCTCCGCCTCCTGGAAGCCGTTCGATCCCATATCTCCGCCACTGGCCGCACTCACATCCGCTACTACCAGGCCGGATCTTCCGAAATGTTCGGATCTTCGCCACCTCCTCAATCGGAATCCTCCCCATTTCATCCCAGATCGCCCTATGCTGCATCCAAGTGCGCCGCGCATTGGTACACCGTCAATTACAGGGAAGCCTACGGCATCTTCGCATGCAATGGGATTCTCTTCAATCACGAATCGCCCCGCCGTGGTGAGAATTTCGTGACTCGGAAGATAACTCGAGCAGTGGGCCGGATCAAGGTTGGGCTGCAGAATAAACTGTTTTTGGGCAATTTGCAGGCCTCGAGGGACTGGGGTTTTGCGGGAGATTACGTCGAGGCAATGTGGTTGATGCTTCAGCAGGAGAAGCCAGACGATTACGTGGTGGCAACGGAGGAGTCTCATACGGTGGAGGAGTTCCTGGAGGTGGCATTTGGGTATGTTGGATTGAAGTGGAGAGATCATGTGGTGATCGATAAGCGGTATTTCAGGCCTGCCGAAGTGGACAATTTGAAAGGGGATTCAACCAAGGCGAGGCGTGTACTGGGGTGGAAGCCCAAGGTTGGATTCGAGCAATTGGTGAAGATGATGGTGGACGAGGACATCGAATTGGCGAAGAGGGAGAAGGTTCTCGTTGATGCTGGTTACATGGATGCACAGCAGCAGCCTTGATTATCGGAATGATGGGTTCGTCTTTGGCTCTTTGCTATAACAAGCACAAGGTTTTGGGTTTTCAGTCTCTGTTTTCACTTTTCAGTAGGGTTAATGCAATGTAAGATCCTCATTTTTTTTTTATCGTTGTTGTTGTTGTTATTACATGTATTCTCACGTCTTCTTTTCATTTCATGATTGATTGATATTCATAGATCCAATATTAAATTCCAGTAATTCGATGTAATTTCCACTATGCGTCTCTGGCATTTATTTTTTATACGTTTTGGTTCTTTTCAAATCAGTTGATCTGGAAGAATTCAGTCTGTTTCTGATAATTCCGAGTACGCACAATTCATAGATCCGCTACCCCTAATGTACATCTTGTTCTCTCTGAATATTACTGATGTAATTACTTTGTGGTAGGCTGACGTACTAGTTCTAGTTCAACGGTTCAACCCAACTACTTGGGATTTGATTTCTCTGCCGGTTACTCTTTATTAGGCTTTTCCTGGGAAATTTGGGGATTGAAGAAAACAGAAGAAATTTCAGTTTCAAAAGCGGAGACAGAAGAGTCACATTCTTAAACAGTTTTTTTCTTTTCCCTTTTTTGGGCACAGTGCAAATTCTGGGTAGATTAATGGAGGGAAGTAAAATTGTTTTTGACTTTTTTTGTCTTTAGTTGGGTACCTTCTTGTTCTATCATTTTTCATTTTTTGGTTCATGTCAACGTATATTTTGATCGAGGGGAGAAGTTACAGGGCTAAATTACGGTTATATGGTACCATTGCTATTTCAACATGCAATGTTTTGAGTGGATTTATACTTAAAACATAAACAATACGAATCCTGTTTGGTGAGAAACTAGTGCTTTTTATCCATGCCAGGACACCACAGTGAATAAACGTTGCCAGATAGGTGCTATGGGTTCATTAATTTTTTTCTTGATTTTGCAGACAAATCAATTACAAATTTTCAGTGAATAAACACATACCACATCAATCAAGGTGTCTAAACACTAGACTTTTTGTAGAGTGGAAAACATCAAATTCATGTTTCTTGAAACACCCCTAACAGGGATTTTCATGAGAAGTGTTTTATGACTGTTTTAAGTCAAAACAGTCCAACCAAATAGAAAATTCACTGTTCAACTCAATGAGCCTATTTGGTGCTGATGTGGTGGAGTTTATTCTTGAAACATCACTGCGTCGTCCCTTTTCCTTGGAGGGTCTTTTGAACTTCGATTTCTCTGTTTAAAAAAAATTTAGACCATCCATGTGCCATTAGGCTTGTTGCTCTGGGGGCATTTCAACATTGTACCATCATTCTAAGCCAATATCTTGGTTTCTAATCTGTTGATCATCTCATATATGCCACAAGCGTACCATAAGAGATTTCTGAATAAAGGAGGGAAAACAATCTATCAGTATCACTTGTGACTTGTGAGGCTTAATTGACCCAGATTCGAGTATAAGGTCACCTGCATCAGCTTTCCCTTGCTGTAAAGCATTGCAACAAGTTGTAGAGTGATGAATCAACGTCAACGAACGCTCTCTTCCCAAGATGATGTAGTAGACCACAGCTCTTTTACTCAGCTACGACAAGATGATGTCTTCTTCTACGATCATCTAGGTGTGCTTGCCACTTGTTTTCAAAGTAGAATAGGTAGGAAGTTGTTCATGTTGAAATATTTGAGTTATATTTTTGCCCCTTCTGCAATAAAGATTTCCTCCTCAGAAACAGCCTCTATGTGCAGGGGTAAGGAAGGCTGTGTACATTTGTCCCTCCCCAGACCCCGGCGGGATCCTTGTCCACTGGGCTGCCCTTTTTACAATGAAGATTTCATGTCTTTCTTGCTATTTATATCAAATTAAATTGATAGGGCTTGGAGACAAAATTTTCACTGTAAATGGAGCAGAAATAATATCTGAAATACTTCATATTCAGTCAGAAATATTTTACAAGCAACCTAGGAAGAAGGGGATGTATTGATTTATTTGCTTAATCAACCAAAGCAGCAGAGGAGAGGAAATGATCGACCAGCTCTCGGTTAGCACAACATTGCCGATTATACCAACTATTAGGGAAACAGCCAAGTTTATGCCTATAGCTTCAATGAATTCATGTTGATTACTTGCCTTTGAGGGATTTACAAGGCAAAAACAATTCAAACAGGATTATCCTCAATACAGGGTTCACCTCTTACATTGTATTGGAATCCACTCGACATCCCTCGTTTACAAGACATACAAATATTAAAAAAAAAAAAAACACAGTTAAAAGAATGCAAGAGTCCTAACCTCACGGAATGGTGATGCTGACAATGGCAGAAAGGATTATGCTCTGGAACATAGGACTCGAAAAGGTTAGCACAGAATCTCAGAATGAATGCCAAAGACGCTATTGGAGATTTGTCTGGATATCAACCTGCATATTAGATTGCCAATTTATAATGGAATAGAGATATACATCATGTGTATAAAACAACAGAAGCTTAGGAACTTACAGATGCATAATAAAACTTAAAGGAAGGATACATTATTAAGTTTGATGATCATCATCGTGCTCATTCAGAAGTAGAATTTGTTCCATCTGGTTCAGTAAAACCACGTAGTAGTAGAGATTGGGTCATTGGAGGAACAGGTTGATCAGGAACAAAGTCTTCTCGTGAGATCACAATGGAATTGAATCCAGAGCTTCTTGATGGAGTTGTTGAACTTACACCGACATGGGTCTCTTTTGTTTTAACCTTTGGACCCTTATCTGAGATCCGACACCCTCTGAGTTTGTCCATGGAAGGTAGTGGAGTGTGGTCATGGAAGAGAGCAACATGGCTGAACAGCTTGTCCTTTCGCGTGAAACTGGTCCCGCAGGAGCACTTCCAGTCGTCTTTGCCACAGTGTTTCTCATGCGTCTTCAAATCCGAAGCAACAGAGAATTTCTTACGGTTGCAAATGCTACAGATGTAGCTCTTATCGCAATGGCTCCTTCTGTAATGGTTTTTGACGCACAGGATGGTCTTAAGTGGCCGAAATTTCTCGTGCTTCTGGTTTCTCTTGCAACCCTCAAAGGGGCACGAATACCGCCTTGGTTGGACGAGTTCCAGTTTTGCTCTCTTATTAGGGTTTGCCAGAGCTTCTGGAGTTTTGAACTTGTCGCCATGTCCACGCATATGCATCCTGAGGTTTGCATCTCTTTTGAAACCCTTGCCGCAAATTAAACAGAAATGAGTATTCAGGGCCAGGATTTCCTCCTTATGAAGCTCCAGAACTTCATACCCCGGGCTTGGAACCTTCTCCTCTTCTCCTTCCCCATCTGCATCAGTCGAAGAGCCAGACTCAACCTCTTGAGCAGAGTTATCTAGTTTCTCTTCTTCCACCAACCTGTCACAATGCCCTGGATCAATGTTGGTCCCATCTGCAGAACCTTTGCCTTTAATTTGCCGCAGATCTTGAGCTCCTAAACCCATGGTGTCCCCTAGTAAATTACTCAGATGGGCTACTATTACGGTGTTAACCTCTGGCCGGGCATTCTGATCCTCTATCTGCTGATCCGTATGAAGTAATCTTCTGGCCATAGAGATCATCTGAGCTATTATTGAACCAATTTCTGCAACTACCAGTTGTCTTCGGGTGGCGGCAGCAACATCGCTACCTCCTTGAATACACATGGACCTCACCACTCCCTGAAGATCATGGACCTTCTGTCGAAGAAAAGCCAAATTATTGAGGAAAAACCTAGGATTACATTCTTGATAAGGTGGAAACTGTGCTAGTTCCACTGATTGCAAACCATTGTTATCGATCCCAGCGTCCTCGTGGCAAGGTCGAGACATTGATAACTGTTGCAAATTCACATGAAAAGTCTCCACCTTACAAGCATTAGGTCTAGTAACAAAAGAACTTAAAAAGCAGAATTGGCCTCTGAAACGCTACTCTGGACATCAATCTTGCTTATACCCAGTAAGATCAGAAAGAGAAAGACCAGATCCATCGCAAGTCATGGTTTGCAGGTGTCTTTACTGTGGCCGAAACTCTTAAACTCTTTATTCTTAAACTTGAGAGTAATCTCTTCCCCCTTCCCAAACACCTCAGAAAAGAAAAGAAAGAAAGAAATAAAGAAACCAAAATATGAAAAGTGGAAAAGAGAGAAAAAAGGGGAGAAAGCAGAGGAGGGATACTGTCAGTTAAAACGATTAAAACAGAGTACGAGATGAGCAACCACCGCAGGAGGAGTGAAATTTTAAAGAGATGGAGTGATGAACAGCGGAGACAAGGAGAGAAGTTGGGGTTTCGGATTTGATGTTAAAGAAAGAAAGAAGCAAACAGGATTTACATTTACAGATTTGGTCCAAGATGCCTGAACGATCATCAAATCACGATGTACTTGGCAGCGAGATCTCCGAAAGACGAGACAAGTTTGGATTTTGGAACGACAAATGGAAAGCTCCTATCCACTTGATGAACCCAACTTCTTTCACCCTGCCGGCGGCGACCGAGTGAACAACTCTCCGATATTCGTACGAAGGACCTTGGTTTGAGTAGAAACAAACGACAGGCGTCTCCGTTGATCGGCGGCAAGATGAAGAAGATCTAGAATGTGAGATCTAACGTGATCGTGAAGAAAAAACAATGTAAATGTTTTTCAGCCTTTTTCTGAAACGAGGAATTGAGAGTGATGCTATTATACACGTGTAAACCAAACTGTGTTCCAAAGAAACAGAGGTGGACGGTCTGGACCGGACCTCAATGGATGACCCTGGACCATATATACTCCAGGGAAGAGAAAATATTTTTATATTATTGTTTTATTAACTTTCTCGAATTAAATACATTTTTTCGAATTGAATATCAATATATGGTTTTCTCATGAAGAGTAAAATAATCAGCTAAATAACAACATCTACAACGGTAATAACCGTCATCAGGTGCTTCGTATTAACAAATATCGTTGTTCTAAACGTACATTAAAAAAAAAATTACACGGTCCAGACCGTCAAATCGCATTGAACCAAACTGAAATTGGTAGTTTGGTTTGATCTGCCTTCCTAAAAAATGGTTTGGTTTCGTGTTTTGAATTTCATAAATCAGATTACATCGTAAATTGAATTTTTAATAATATATTTATTAATATATATGTATATATGTATTCATTTAACATTTAAACATATTTCATAACTCTTAATTATATAGATATTTCATACATGATTGTTATTGGCATGGTTTAAAAAAAAAACGATCCGGAAATGGAAGTGATGAGGAGTAGACCTGGGCCGGGCCGGGCTCGGGTCGGGCTTTCACTTGTCATTAAGGGAAGTATGCTAGGCCCAAGCCTAAGCCCGGCCCGACCAATGGGCCTATAATTTGGGCCCGAGTCCGAGCCCGAAGCCCGACCTAATAAAAAAAAACAATTTTCCCTATTCAAATTAGAATTAACAATTCAGATAGTTTTTTTTTCTTATTTAAATGAATAATGGCCTACAAGATGGTTTTTTAACCCTTTCTTTTATATTTTAAAACACATTTTTACATTCTTAAATTATTTTTTTTTTCAAATGGACATAACCACATTACTCACTTTAAGTTTAATATTAGGTCAGGCCGGGCTATTTTGACAAAACCCGAGCCTGACCCGAATTTATTGCGGGCCAAGCTTTTTGGCCCGAATTTAAGCCCGCAGGCCTATAACCACGTTCAAGCTCGTCCGGGGGCCGGGCCGGGCCGGCCCGTCGGGCCACCCAGCCCATGAACAGGTCTAATGAGGAGTAATTTGGCCCAACCTATCAGCACCCGAATACGTAGAAGCAACCTGCTGATTGGATGATGAATCGACACTTCTTGCCATCTCAGCAAGTCAGGTAAGTTCGGGTACCTCGGGCACCTCAACCAAGACCGAGGTCCGAGCAGCTTGTGATGGCCCGATCTACCTAGGTGACACATAGCCAACTTATAAGCTAGCCAGCTGTCTCTGACCTCTTTGGGATCATGATGCACGTTTGCGAGCCTTATCCTCATCCCTCCCAGATTGTGCGGACTAAATAAGCCTTATCAGCTAGCATGAATTGCACCTCCTAGCGTGGAACGAATTCCTAGTAGCGCGGACCAAAGAACTCAGAGGTGTTTTGTGAGACCTACGACAACTCACCTATATAAGGACACCAACCCCAATGTATTAAGGTACACGTGATTTACTGCTCACTAGCCTACTAGCATACAAGCTTTTAGCTCGCACAACCGAATACTAGCTTAAGCATCAGAGCATCCACATCGGGTAAGCCACCCCAGGTCCTCTGAGCCTTCCTCTTTTGTAGTTCGACCGGCAGCAAAGCAGACCAACGTCCGAGCTGCCCTCTAGCTAAGAGCATCCAGATCGCGCACCATCAATTGACGCCATCTGTAGGAACGCGACATAAAAGCTAAGTTCCTACCCTTCTTATTTACTTTCTACAAACTTCAATGGCTTCCTCAAGTACTGGAAAGAACGTCGAGATGCCCATCACCGGGGGGCAAGATTAGCCTACACTCAACCCGCAAACCCCCCTCTATGACCATACACATTGCCCCTCACTCTTTCTGGAGTGTCAACAGCACAAAATCCAGCCTTTGTAGCACAAGTCAACGCACCTTGACTTCCAAGCCCGTCTACTATATAAGTATACTGGGTCTAAAGGTCCGTTTACTATATAAGTATAGTTTTGCAGGCATTTGAGACCAGGTAACCCGACATCGAAAAGCTGGCCTATGCATGCACTAGTCTTGCAGCTTGGAAGCTATGCCCTTACTTCCAAGCCCATACCATTATCTTCCTAACTGATAGACCACTGAGGCATGTCCTTCAGAAGCCTAAGGTCTCAAGCAAGTTGACGAAGTGGGCCATCAAGCTAAGTGAATACGGCATCCGATTCGAGCTACGCCTAGTCATCAAAGCACAAGTCTTGGCGGACTTCGTTGTCAAATGTAGGTTTAGCATGCCGACCCCTGAGGTGGCTGGGCTGACTAGCATGTCGGAGGCTTCGACCAGTGTGACACTCATTCTAGGTAGGGAGAATGCCCCGGCCTGGGACGAGGAGCCTTGGATCCTCCACGTGGATGGCTCGTTTAATCAGCGAGGAAGTGGAGGTGGACTCATACTATACGAGCCAAGCAAAGTGAAGCTGGAGTACACTTTCCGGTTCGGATGCAAAGCGTTAAACAACGAGGCAGAGTACAAGGTGTTGATAGCCGGGCCAACGTTGGCGAAGGAGGTTGGCGCAAAGCACGTTGTGGTATGTAGCGACTCTTAGTTGGTCGTGAACCAAGTGAATGGCAAGTACGAGGCTCGGGAACCCGCCATGATGGCCTACTTGACCAAAGTGATGGAACTCCTGCTCGGCTTCCACTTTTGGTTCATCCGGCAAGTATCAAGGTCGGAGAATGCCGAGGCCGATGCACTCTCAAAGTTGGCCAGCACTAGTGACATTACTATGAGGATAGTGTACATCAAAGACTTGCCTTGACCTAGCATTGTTAGGGTGGCAGGAGAGGCCGCTCCCATGTTGCAAACAGAACTGAACTGGATCGACCCGCTTGTCAACTATCTGCTCCACGAGACCCTACCAACAGAGCACAATGCAACTCGGAGGGTAGAGTGTTAGCCAGCCCAGTATGTTCTCATTGATGGGCAATTGTATAGGAGATCCTTTATGCTCCCCTACCTACGTTGCTTGCGACCCTTAGAAGCGAGCCAGGTGCTACACGAGATCCACGAAGGTCTCTGTGGAGGGCATTTGGGGGTAGGGCGCTTGCCCAAAAAGCACTAAGGCAAGGATACTACTAGCCTACTATGAAAGCGGATGCACTCGAGCTCGTCCGGAAGTGTGATAACTGCCAGAGGCACGCCAACATACTTCACCAGCTCGTTGCCGACCTAAAGTATCTGACCACCCGTGGCCTTTTGCCCAGTGGGGGATAGGCATCCTCGGTCCTTTCCCACCTGCAATCAGGCAGAGAAGATTCCTAATCGTGGCAGTTGATTACTTTACGAAGTGGGTGGAGGTTGAGCCCTTGGTGACTATCATAGCCTGGAACGTACAAAACTTCTTTTGGAGGAACATAGTGTGCAAATTCGGATTGACGAAGGTGCTGAAGCGGTTCAAGGACATCAAGTTCCAAAATTAGTGTGCCGAGATGGGAATCCAACAGAACTTCATGTCGGTGGTGCATCCATAAGAAAATGGGCAGGTCGAGGTGATGAACAGGGCAATTCTTCAAGGGCTGAAAGCTCGGCTAGCGTGAGCTAAAGGTTTCTGTGTTGACAAGTTGCCCAGTGCCCTATGGGCCTACATGACTACTATCAAGACTGCGACAGGCGAGATGCCATTTAACTTGACCTATGGTATGGATGCCATCATCCCAGCCGAGATCGAAGTACCGACCCTGCGACAGGCGAGACGCCATTTAACTTGACCTATGGTACTGAGGTCGAAACGTTGGAATGGAGGCAAGTGCCCTGTGCCTAGAATGTCGACAACCTAAGGAGATATTACTTGTGAGCTTGGGAACCAAGCATCCGCCAATTTTTCCAAGTACAAATGACCACCCTCTTAGGCGATTTGGTTAGGTTGCATGTTGGCTAAATTATAATGGAGAGTGGACCACGAGTCACTCTAAAAGCCTAAGGGCCACGGTGCCGAACCAATAATGACCTCAGTGCTAAAGATGAATAAGACCCAGTCGCTTTCTAAGTATATGGGCAGTGCAAGCAAACCTTACTTATGCTTCATTGGTGTACAGACAGTTCAGGTTATGTACTTACCATGTCTGTTCACCTCGGCTCATAGCTACTTCAGGTTACCCCTCGTCATGACTAGTTATTTTAGAAGCTAGGCACCTCAGAGCAACCAACACTTGGAAACTTTTTTACGAAAAAATTGTTGTACGTGAGGTGACAAAAAGGAGAGTTGCATTTCATTTCTTCAAAAGAGTCTGATTCATACATTCAAAAAAAAAAAGAAAGAGAAAAAGAGAGAAAAATCTACTAGACTGAGCTTGGAGGCTCGATAGATGATTGTTTGTACAAGGAAGTCCATCCTCGCCCCCACCTTCAACATCTTTAGAAGCATCTTTGGCCGACTCAGTCTCTATAGCATCCTCAGCAGGGGCAGCTTCCTCCGTCTCCATGACCTACTCGGTAGAGGCATCCAGGCTATCCTTCTCCATGGTCCCCTTGTTAACGCCATTGCCACTCTCTTCCTCAGAGTTAGGGTCCTTGTCTGCTTTGAGCACCTGCTCCGTAGTGACCCCGACAGTGGTGATGGATCTGAGGTCGAGGTCGGGGAATGAACGCCTGGCCAACCAACGACATAGTTTGAAGCCCTTCCGAAAGGCAGATGCAGCAAGTTCCTACTTAAGTTCATTAAAATTTGGAAAGCCTTTGTAGGTTTTAAAAGCAAGCACCTCAGCGTCCTTGATCGCTTGAGTAAGAGGAGCTTCATGCTCGGCGAAAGCGATCCTTTGCTCCTCGGCCTCCTTCTTCAGTCCTTCAATGCGCTCCCCCTTCAACTTCAACTTGGCCTCCAACTTCCTGATGGCATCGACAGGACGACAACCTTTAATAGCTTAGTCTGGTACTCCACAGCTGCCAACTTAGCAACTTGTACCTTTGCATTGGCAGCTTGTTCCTTCGTCTCGGTGGCTTGCACC